AGATTTCCTTCCATTTTCATTGTGGATGGAAATAAATCAATTGTTAGTTTCTTACCCCAAGTCAGATTCGATAATGAACTGGTCCTGGACTGTGAAGGACAAATGTGAATGTTTTCGGAGGTGTTTTTGGAAAATCACAGACAGTGGGCAGGAGACGAACCTGCTGAGCTGTGGTTATTGGCATCGGTGATTCAAAGCAGGAAATTCCTTACATAACTCACCCTCTCCCAAGCCTGCTGGGAGCAGGAGAGGCCAACTCCTCCCTGGGCTTCTCTCTTGTTCCCAGACTAGTATCCACTGGGTCTGAACATGGCTGACCATCCACTTACTAAGCCAGAGTAAATGTTCATGCCCCTTCTCCAAATCTCTTCGGGGCCAGAATTCAGGGGAGAAGATAAGAAAGACACTAACCACTCCCTCCATAAGGCTCCACATGTCTGCTTCTACGGAACGTATGGAATGAGCAAGTAACATACTCTCTCCAGGGAGCTTCCCATTCTAGAATATTCCTTCTGGTATCATACCCACCCCTACCTTCCACTTCTCTAACCTCTAAGAATCTAAGACAGACAGACAGACAGACAGACACACACACACACACACACACACACACACAGAACATATCAGTCAGGGTAGGCTAGTTACTACAACAAACACCCCCAACACCTCAGTGAACTAACACAATGATAGTCTCACATTTGTTCACATTTAATAGCTGCCGATCTTCCTAAATTGAGCCATGACTACACAGGGGCTTTCATTTGCTTTCTAAATTCTACTTCTTGCTTTCTAAGTCACAGTTCTTTAAGGAACTGTAGCTTGCACATTTGTATGGAAGCAAGAGTTCTCTTCAGTTCTTCTTTACAGCTTGGAGTATAAGGAACAGATCCCAAAGCGCACCATGTGAACCCCATAAAGTTGGCAGAGACCTGGTCCACCATGTTCAGTCAGCGCTGCCATTGGTGGGCCTAACCCTTTCTCCCCTGACACACTGCTCTGGCAAGCAGGGCTTCCAGCCTCACAGCCATGGGAGCTGAGTTGCCCAAAGGACTCTTGCACCTGGCAGAGAACAGTTTGCACACATGGACATTGCGGAAGGACAGTCTGGCCTGGCCTGACACAAGCCTACACGTATTACTGAGTCACTGATGGTAGCAATCCTAGAGGGATGGATGAATGTGTCTTCTGCCTTGGAAGCCAGCACTCTGTGACTTCATTTGTGCTTCTGTTGTTGGACCAAATTACCTCACTTACGGATTTAAAATAGAATCCAGACCAAATGTGCTGGCTGTGTAGACAGAGAGGAAGGGTTCAGTAGACGCAGACTCTGGGTACCAAGCCAAAAGAAGAGGCTGGAAGCTGACACAGGCATTCCCACTGTTCAAAACCTGTGCCTTCTTTCTCCATTCATCTGCTCATTCATTCAACACTTTGCCTACAGACCAAATGGGTCTATTCATCTTGCCGATCATCTGTCCCTTGGTCATGCCTGATTTCTGTAGACCACGTCACCAAGCCCGCTTGCCTTTTGGCTGACAGATGGGTCAGGATATCAGGAGGCAAGAGGTGGAAAGGAGAAGGTGAAAGGCTAGAGTCTGGAGAGTAACAGCAAGAATATAGCAAGATCTGAGGTTGCCCAGCTTTAGAGCCAATCAGAGCTGAGGTTGCCCAGCTTTAGAGCCAATCAGAGCTGAGGTTGCCCAGCTTTAGAGCCAATCAGAGCTGTGGTTGCCAAGCTTTAGAGCCAATCAACAATCACCCAAGAGAGCCCAGTCCCCTCCAGGTCCTTTGGACACTCTTTGTAGATTTATAAAATACGTTCTATGAGAAAGCATGACACCAGAAGCCGGCTAGTATCAGAGCCAGGAGAACTAACTTCATACTATGCAATCATGTGCTGGGTCAGCTAATACAGGATGCCCAAGAGACCATTGCCAATTTCAGAAACTTGAAAGCTGCTTTTTAAACCTTTCAGTAGCTTCAGATCAGCCTTGGTGGAAGTATGTTCACCAGAGGAATTGGCAAGCAGACTAGGTTTTCTCCCCAGTCCCTGAGAACTGATTAACCAACCTTCCAGTTAAGTGTTCTGGAAACAAAAGGATGAGATAGACTAAAGAAGCAATTCTGCATGCAGAATCTCAAAGGCTCAGGCTGAAACCCCCCAGGTCTCCTAACAAGGTGACCTTAGGTAGATTCCTTGACCCCTCTGAGCCCGTTTCTTTATGTCTCTGTAGTACCTATGCACCGAATGCATAGTCTGTAGCAGGTACTGCTCTCAGCAATTACATGTATCAATTCACCAGTTCCTAATAGCATTCTTCAGAAAGGAAACTACCGGTATCCCCATTCTGCAAAGGAAAAAATGGAGGTAAAGGTAGATGAAGGAACCACACTAAGGCCTCACAGCTCGTAACTGTCAGAATAACAAGAGCAGGAAGCCTGCCCCAGAGCTTTGTCTGGCTTCCAGCCCTGCACTGCCTGATCCAGTGGTCACTGGCAGTGCAGAGTCAGCCACCCCACACTACAGAGGGCTTCATCTTGGTTGATTGACATTAAAGATGCAATCATGTGCCCCAGACTGCACACAGCTTGGTCTCTGGTCTTCTGCAGCTGGGCTTCCCTTAAAGTCTCACCACCATCCTTTGGGAAGTGTTACCCTTACAGAGGGTTTTGACTCTGGCTTCTATTTAACAAAGAAAAATAATAAAATGCTTATTAATTAGAACCCAAAGGTTCTTGAAACTGATATTGAAACAGCGGTGTATCTGAAGGCAGCAGCACAGCAAGCAGACTGATCCTTGAGCCACCTGCACTGTGTGGGAAATGTGTTCTCCTCTGAACGGGGCATGGCTGCAGGTCTCACTTGTATGCTGTCTGTAAGATGCTTGTGTGCTGCCTATAAGATGTTTGTATGCATACAGAAGCTTTGTGGTGACCTGAATCTGGATGCCTTTATTTTAAAACTTTAATCTTAATTTTCTAAGTAAGTAGAAACGCAATGGAGCCACCTCCCACTCACACTAAGTATTAGAAGCTTTGGTTTGTGCGCATCACGTGTGTGGTTTCCCAGACCCAGAGTAATCAGGGGTGGGGAGGGGTGGAGAGAACTACGCATGAGCCTTGAAAATATTTGTTAATGGAATTAGTCTTTCAACCCTGCCTCGTAGGACTTTTATCAACCATTAAATACTTTCATGCAACTGCCCTCGGAAAGAAGAAACTTAAGTATGTGATGGGAGACACATATAAGACTTCAGAGACTTTTGTATGGTGTGTGTGTGTGTGTGTGTGTGTGTATGTGTGTGTGTGTGTGTGTGTGTGTGAGTGTGTGTGTGTGTGTTGCCGTGTTAATGCTGTATTGATTGTAGAAATGATACTTTGGATATGGTAAACCAAGTAAGAAGTAGAATTAGATTTAACTACACCTGTTTCTTTGACGTTAAGGGGCTGCTAGAGTTTGTAATGCAGTCTGTGACCCAGACATCTGCAGGGAACGCTGCTCCACACTGACCTACCTCATCATTGTAAGCACTGACCAGTTAATAATACAGGGGGGCGAGTCTAGCACAGAACCTGAAACACGCTAAACACCTGAGGGCCATTAGCTATATTAGTGACACCAACGGCTTTCAGTGATTAGCAGGGAGCTCCAATGGAAGGAAAGGGAACCTCACGGTGTCCACTCTAGTAGTCCACTCTGGAAGGCCATCCTGACCACTGTCTCCACGGTTAGAAAGCCAAAACAGCAAGAGATTCTTCAGAGTTCCTCAAGCTTTCATAGTCTTCTCTGGAGGTCGGGAAGGTGGAGGAGTGGCACATAACTAAAGACATAGTTAGCACATCTATGACAGCGTTGCCTGTACGTGTTTGGGGACAAGTGAGCATGGCATGTGCGTGCATGTGAGATTGATGTCCGGTGTCTTCCTCCCCTGAGATTCATGAGTGCTGGGGATCAAACCCAGGTCCTCACACTTACACAGCAAGCACTTTATCAACTGAGCTGTCTCCCAATGCTTTTTAAACGATGATGGGAAAATATTTCCATTCTGTGAGAAATAAATCTGGGCACAGTACAGAGAGGTTCAGCGGCGACAAGGGTCATGTGGCAAGCTTGGTCTCTAGTGTAGTGAGATTAAAAAGTATATGGAACCTCCAAGATGAGGAGTGTGGGGCTTGGTGCAAAGTAGCTAGGTCATTGGGGCATTGTCCTTAGAAGGGATTAACGTAGCTCTTTGGGGATCCTGGTTAGTTACCATGAAAGGTTTTTGCAAACAGAGAAAGCCGGATTCCAGAAGGCTTCCTAGATCACCATGAAATTGCTTCCTCACAAACATTCCCACTGAGGTGTCTTCTTTCGTCTGATCCTAGCCAGAACTGTGCAGAAGCCAGTATCATGCTCTTGACCCTCCAGAGGAATGAGCTAATTCAACCACTTTTCTTTACCAACTGTGTGGAAAGCACCCCATACAAGCATCATGGATATGAATGGGAGCTCATCCCCAGCCTCCTGCATAGGCTCACAAGATTCACAAGGCAATGCCTATTCTCCACACCACCTGTCCATTCTGCTTCTCACAACCTGACAATGCCCCACCTACCCAGAACCTAGGAAAGGCGCCAGACCCCAAGACCCACAAGTCTAGCTCCAGGGAAGAGTGGTAGGAACACCCCACCCTAGTACTACAATGACTGTGCTGTCCTACAGGCAACTCTGAGCTCCACCAGCCCCCACCGTCTGCCAGGCAACCTCTCAGCACTTCCTCCAGCCCTCAGTCCTGGCTCTGAAGTCGTATGTGTGGACGGGGAAAACAGCCAACTTCTCGCCGGGCTCTCTAACAAGTTCCGCGGGTCTGTTTGTTAAAGAAAAATTCCAGTGGGCGCATCCAGCACATGGAACTCAAGCACAGAAATTATATTTATCCAGCCCACTGCCAAAGAGATCACATGCCCCGTGAGTCACTCCAGATGTGCTCAAAAACAGAGCCTCCGTGTGGAAGCCTGGTCCCCTAATCCCAGAGAGAGTTAGGTTAAGAGAGGTACCAATTTCTGTCCCACCCAAGAGGCAGCGTCTGCCTCCACCCTCTGGAGCCAGGGAGAGGCCCTTGCTTTCCTTATAGACAAGAAAGGACAGTAAGAACTCTGTCCTCTCACAGAGTAGAGTGGGGGGCCCACCTGGGGTCCCACAGGCATAGAAGGTCAGTTAGTCTCCCTCCTGGAAGATGCCCTGGAAGATCCTGACGATTCTGTTGGTGCTCTCCAGCACCCAGGTCACTATGTCCTGCAGGTGGAGCAGGGGTAAGTTGTTTTTATTCTTGTGTTTCTCTGGTGCTCGTTCATCTTTCTCGAATAGAGGGAGGAAGGAGTTAAAAGCCCTGTGCCTGCTTCATACACCAACTTTGCCAGTGCTCTATACTTCTGGTGTGGTACCTCTTGGTAAAAGGTGATAGGAAAAGCCGGTGGAAGAGCGTCAAAGCAGCTGATTTGGGAGACTAATGGAGGTTGAGAAGCCATCGGGTTGCTCCTGCTGGTGACCCAGAAAGAACTCTTCACTGTTTAGGAGGATGGGTACAGGTTCTCTCCAGATCCCTGGCTGCTACTGCTGAGACAGACCCCCTGAGAGAAGGTGTCAAGCTCCGCTGCCTGTGTGATGGAATGGTGGCCACTGGGATATAGGAGGCTGCTACCTGGGAGACTAACACAGGGAGCTCTTGGCCAAGCTGGTCGAGAATGAGGTATCCAGGATGCTATGGGTGTGCATTTTGGCAGCCAGGTAAAGTTGTGTAGTGGTGGGTAAGGAAAAAAAGAACCATTGGGGCATCTGTCCAATGTGCTTGGGTGGCAGGGGTGCCATTCCCATCAAACCTCCATGGAAAGAAGCCAGTATGTGCGAAAGCTTTTCTCTCATGCTGACATCTTCTCCCTCGGATACCACTTCTGAGAACAAGGATGGCATCTTTACTCTGGTCTGGCTGTACTTGGCAGGCACCGGGGACATATCAAGCCAGCTAGTTTCTTACTATCGGGAAATGAAGAGCTGGGAGTGCTACCCACCCCATGCCAGTCTGAGGAGAAATCTTTCCGCTGCCTCTATCCAGCTGAGTTCACATTCCCAGAAAGACCTAGAAGTAGTGTTCCCTCACGTCAATCCAGACGCTCTTTATAGAGACTCCTAAGGGGGTGAGGATTGGCATGAGGATTGGTGTGCCCCTCCTTCTCAGGGACGATGTCAGGGAGGGAAAGCGAGGCCTGAGCAGCAGGGGAGAAACATTTGCAATGGAAGACAGAAGCTTGAGGCGCTTACTCATTTATCGTCTCTGTGCTTAAACCTGACATTAGGGACTGGCCGGGACATAAGTGTTGCCGAGATGCAAATTGCAAATAACAGAGACTTCACACACACACACACACACACACACACACACACACACACGCCTACCTGCTCATGTGCATAGTCTTTAAGGGCTTTTGGGGGCGGAAAGCAGAGAGGTCTTATAATTGGATTCTGTCACTTATGCTTGTCACACTGGAGCACAACTTAATTTGCCAAAGGAGACAAAGGCATCTTCTCTTCTTAAGGCTCTGGCTGTCAGGAAGCCAAGAGAGGACTGGACGCACAAGAGGGCTCATACACACTCCTGCAAGGACTCGGAGATTTCAGTGCTCTCTTTAACGAGCCACCTGCATGATCTCTGACAGGTTTCTAATTCCTCTGGATGTTGTTAGCAAGCGGCATCCTAGCAATCGCAAAACATGCCCTCGCAGGGCTGATTTGAGGATGGTATTCAAAAATGTGCTACAAAAATTATGTACATAAGTGTTAGTGGCTACTTATCTCTCTAAAAAAATAATAATAATAAGCATTATTCCTTAATGAAAAGCTGAGTCTCTCAACACACTTGATAGCAACATTTGAGGCTCTTGGGAACAGGTTTTCCCAGCAGGGCGCAGGCGCTAAAGGATCAAGGCCAACACAAATGACCAAAAGGCCATTATGGGACAAAGTACGAAGCGCTAGATGTATGGTCCAAGACTGTGTTCTGGAGCAACAAGTGATATGGAGTCCATCCAAGTTTCTTCAAAAATTTTCCACATGGTTGGCTTTTATTTTTCCTCTGTCTTAAACATTTTTTTTTCTAATTAAAAAAGGACACAATTCTTGTCACCATTAGATTAGCTCAGTTGATAAAATGCTTCCCATGCAAGCATGAGGGCCTGAGTTACCCCAGATTTCATGTGGAAAAGCTGGGTATGGAGCCTGTGTCTGTAATCCCGTCGCTATGGGGGCTGAGCGTAGAATCTCACGGCTCACTGCCTGCCAGCCTAACCCAACTGGTGAGCTCCAAGCCAATGAGACATACTGTCCGAAGAAGATGGACTGTGTTGCTGAGTGTAACGTTCTCCAGGTTGTCCCATGGTGCGATCCTATGTGTGTGCCTTCGTGTTCAAACACACACACACACACACACACACTAAAATAACTTTCCCACAGGTGTTGTCCTTTTCACCTCCTTACTCCAATTCTGAACTGCCACCCTGCTTTCAGTGAATTTCCTTAGGAGACTGTATCCTTCCGTCCATATCCTCTACCACAGCCCTCCCCTCCCATACACACTGCTCTATATAGAAAGAAACCCAAAAGGAGTCTGCCCACTGCCAGGCACCCTTCTTCTGCCCCTTCTCCCAGCCTCCCCCTAGGAAGCACTCTCTAGGATTCCCTCCCTCCCCCGCCTCCTAGGGTGGTGATTCCACAGCCAGATCCAGGACTGCCCAGTCCAGCCTCACCAGCATGACGAAGTCTCAGTGACTCACCTGTGGTTTCTGTGGTTAACAGGGCCAACCTGAGGACACTGACCTACACACACAGCCTGTGTCCTGGCATGCCCCACAGCCTGTCAGGGAGATACCTAAGGGAGAGGGCTTGCCTGACTTTAAAAAGGTAAAAAGTAGATACATAATAACCAATAATCATGACTATGTTGTTGTTAAGGCCATATGAAGTATCTCTATTTTCCAACATTTATTTATTTGTCCGTATGACCACGTGCTCGTGTATGGACACATGTGTAATGCTGCACACATTGTAGGAGTCAGTTCTCTCCTCCCAAGTCAGGCTGGGAGGCAGTCATCTTCCCTGCCCAGCCAGCATCCCATCCCCACAAAAGTATTTATTTATGAAACGGTTTAGTAAAACAGACAGCCCCGAGGGTTAGTGGGTGTCCTAGAGTTGTGCTTGTCCTTGCTCTTGGATGCTCTGCCAGGTAAGGGCAACGGCCAGAAAAAGTTGATGCTGGTCTCTGCAGTGTCGCCTAGCGCACCATGCAGATAACTATTGTAGTCAAGTTCACTCCTCTACCACACTGCCTCACTGGAAGCAGGCATGAAGGAGTCTGGGACTGTGGTCTTCTCCAAACAACAGCAATTCTCCAAAAGGCTTGGCCCTGGAGCCAAAGAATGATCGACATCAGAATCTGGCAGGAGATCTTTCATAAGCAAGAACATTTCTCATCCACACCCAGAGTTGCTTCAAGGATTCATTCACAGTGGCGCTGTGCTTTGGCTCGATGTGGTCTGCAGCCAGTATCCTTTCCAGAAGGTTCTCTGGTGCAAGTCCTACACATGGCTGAGTGGACTCCACTGGAGGGCTCCACACACAGGAGTGGGAGCAGGAAGACAAAGGACAGTTTCAAACCCAGGATCCTGAAAAGTCAGAGGTCAGACTCCATCGCAACTCTGCTTCCGCCCCGGGGAGGGAGCCTTCTGGCTGCACTCCAGGTCACAAAGTCTGCACGGGATAAAAGCATGGGGAGATAGCAACTGCCTTGCCTAAGATAGAGGAGAAGCAGCTCCCTCTTAGCTGGAGCAAGGACTCCTGAGAGATAAGGCAAGACAATGGTGGGGATCAAAGTCTGCTTCACTGGGACCAGACCTGGAACTTTAAATGATGGTAGACTCACTCTCTTGCAAAGAGGAAGCTCCTGTAAAGTACCCTGAAGAGAACCAAGCTCGAGTAGCTAGTGTGGCCCTACAGTATCATTTATCCGGTCAACAAACAGTAATGGGCACAACACTAGGTATCAGGAATACAGTGATGAGCAACACAGACAGGTCCCATTCCCACACAGAACCGACATTCTAGTGAAGGGGACAAGAGACAAGCACATGGATAACGACAATGTGTGAGTCGCTGGGTGGCAACATAGTAAGGTCAGAGGTTAGAGTGCGAAAAGCTTATCATCCTAGATATGGTGGTCACAGAAGGCTCCCCTGGAAGAGAAAAATCACAAGAGACCTGAGAGGTGTGGGAGGGAGTCTTGTAATCTCTGTGGAGCCTGGGAGCAGATATTTCAGGGAGACGAAACAGACATGCCTTGAGAGAAAAGTTCTCCAGATCTGTTTAAAGACAGTGAGGTTTTCTATGGCCAGAGTCACATGAGCCAGGGAGACGGGAGATACATGCCAAGCTGATGAGGACTTTGATCTGCAAGTACTTGCTACCATGTGAAGCTTTGTGGGTGTTTGGTTGGTTTTGGGGGGTGTCCCTGGGAAAAATTAGAACCAGAGAAGGTTCTGGGTGCAGTGACATCTCCAGGCCCCCCGTTTCCACAGACTTACTTCAGGTACTGTACTAAGAGCAGAGTAAGGATGAGCCAGAGTCTCTAGCTCCACACTAGAGACACCATTAAGGGAGATGGTTAGAGTTAGAAGTCTGGGGAGGCTGTTGGGATGGGGAAGATGTAGGCAAGTTCCTGATAGATTTGGAAAGGACCGTCACCAAAATGTGATGATTAGATGGATATGGGATGCTAAAGAAAGAGGAAGGAAAGATGGCAGCTGACCAACTGGGGGAGATGAAGGATGTTGGGGAGGATGCAGGGGTGTGTGTGTGTGCGTGTGTGTGTGTGTGTGTGCATGCGTGTGTGCATGCATGTGTGTGTGTGCATGGGTGTGTGCATGCATGTGTGTATGTGTGTGTGCATACGTGTGTGTGCATACGTGTGTGTATGCGTGTGTGTATGTGGTGTGTGTGTGCGAGTGTGTGTGTGCATACGTGTGTATGTGTGTATGCATGAATGTATGTATGTGTGCATGTGTGTATGTGTGTGCATGCGTGTGTGTGTAGCAGGTGACTGGCGTGAGGGAGGACCTGGAGGTGGGAGGATGTTAGTTAGCTGAGAGAGTGTGAGCATGAGAAGAGACAGAGACCGCTGGGCAGCAGCGAAGGGTGTATGTGACAGGGTGACTGAGATCTTAAAATACAGCTACTTAATGTGGTGACGTGTCCTCCAAACACATGC